TCTCCTTTTTTCCAGAGTGACAACAGCTATGACTATTTATCTGTGGAAGAGAAGGAGTGTCTGATGTTCCTGGAGGAAACCATTGGCTCCCTGGATGCAGAGGGGGACAGTGGGGTCTCCACAGATGACACCGACTACGGGGAGCCCCCCAAGCCCAGGAAAGGCCCCATGCCCCGGGGTGAGCTGGAAACCCTTCTGCACATAAGATTTTAATATAAAAAAATCTATTTCTTTCTTTCCCCTGATAGTTTTATACAGGCCTTATTCTCATGTACAGATATGTACAATACATGTCTAGCTGGACATGGATATTTTACAAAATTTTCTGATACCACAACTCAACGGCTTCGAAATTCTACAATGTATAAATAATTTGCAGGTACCCTGCTCGGTGCCAGCAATCCCACAGATTCATGAGGCTTTGCCAGGCCCCAGCAGGGCTGGATCAGAGGAGCTGGGGGAGCCCTGGGTGCTGTGCTGGCCCACGGGGGGTGATGGCTGTTCTTGTCCATGTGCACTGACCCCAACTCTTCTCTTGCCAGATGTGGGGAACAGGGATCAGCAGCGTGGGGCTCAGCACAGCAGTGGTCAGAGCAGCTCAGCCCCAAGCCCAGGTCATCCCATCCTTCCCAGGAGCATCCCTGCAGCAAACGGAGCTTCTGGCAGCTCGGGAAATGTCCACGCAGTGCCAGCAGGAAAACCTGCACGGGAGGTGCCCAGGGAGGCCAGGCTGGACCAAGGAACCCACACCAAGTCAGCGATTATCCAACCTCCAGACCCCTTCCAGGATGAGCTGGAGTGGTCGCGCAGCCGTGGCTCGGATGCCAAGGGGGAGGCGGCCAAGATTCGGACTTGGTGGGGCCAGGCAGAGAAATCCACCCCGGAAGAGGCTCCTCAGGACCCCGATGCCAAGCGTGGGCCTCCAACTGCCCCCAAACCACGGAAATTGCCACCGAACATCATCCTGAGGACCAGCAGGAGCGGCGCCGTGCCGCTGGCCACCGAGCACAGCCAGAAGGGCAAAGCAGCACCCGCACCCCCAGGCACCCCTCAGCCCAGCCCTGGCAGCGACAGCGCTGCTGAAAAGGGGAATTCAGGCCACCTGGACCCCAAGGAGAAGGAGAAAGCCCGAAGGGAGGCCCTGGAGAAGCTGGGGCTGTCCCAGGACAGGAGGGAGCCCAGCGCCCACCTCCATCCCCACGCCGGGGAGACGCCGCTCCCCATCCCTGGGCAGCCTGGCCAGGGCTCCGTGCCAGGGCTCCGGCCCATGGCCTTCAAATCCAACACCCTGGAGCGTTCTGGGGTGGGGCTGGGCAGCTCCATGGGCAGCCCCAAGGAGCAGAGCTCCAAGAGCAGCAGCAGCTCCTTGGGTAAAATGTCCTTTCTGGAGCGCCTGGCCCCCGGCTTCCTGCGCTCCAGCCGCCCCCGGCCCGCGTCCCTCGGGGCAGGGAAGGACTTTGCCGGCCTCAAAGAGCAGGAGGAGCAGGACAAGAGCAGCAAGAGGAGATCCCACCCTCTGGCCAGCTTCCCCAGGCCACCACGCTCTGCTGTGAGCGTCAAGATCTCCCCGAAAGGCGCGGCCGACGAGAACCGGCGCGAGGCGCTCAAGAAGTTGGGGCTGCTGAAGGAGTAGCTGCTGGAAAAGGGGATTTTTCACCCCAAATCCAGCAGCCTGCGCTGCCTGACCTTGGGTACGAGCATCTGCTGCCATCTCCTGCCCCAGCAGCTCGGGAGAAGTGTGGGGAGATTCACAGCAAATAAAGGAAGGCGGCGTGGACGGTGTGTTTTGTATATAGCAGATGTACATGAGCTATTTATACAAAGATCTCTCGGCATGGACGGGGTGTGTTCTCCTGCCAGGGCTTTAATGCATCTGGGGATTCATCAAAACAGGGAAGCCGTGGAATTTGGGGTTTGGCTTATTTTCAGAGGGGTTGCCTATGGATAAAGCATCTCTGGGAAGACCTGCTGGACTTTGCTGCTCCTTTAGGACTTTTTTGGGGTTTTTTTTTTTATTAATTTTATCACAGCCTCTGAGGCCTGAGCACTCACCTGCCACATGAAAGTGTCTTCCAAAAGCACCACTGCCTGCTGGGGGGCTGGAGGGGTGCACAGCCACCCTGCCTGCACTGCCTCCCTTGCCACACTCTGCTGTCCCAGCCGGCCCTGAGCACCTGGATCCAGCACCTGGCAGAGCCTTGAACTCACAGCTGAGGGGGCCAGAGGCTGTGCTGGTGTCAGAGCCAGACGTTCTGCCCAAACTGGGGCAGATGCCAGGCTGGGACAGCTCCAGCTCCTCCCTCTGAGCTGTGCTGGCACCTCTCAGCCCAGCTGATGCTGCTCACCTTGGGGAACAGAGGTGATATCCCAAATAAACCTGTGTGTGATCAGAAAGGGCCGTGTGGTGCAGATTTATGTCCCAGTCAGGTAAATCTAAATAGTGGGGATTAAAACAAAGAGTTCTGAGACAAAGGATGAGCCAGGTCAGCTCCTGCTCCTATTCCTGCTCCTGTTCCTATTCCTGCTCCTGATTCTGATCCTGCTCCTGCACCTCAGCTCCACCTGGAGCACCTGCCAGTGCCTTCCTGCAACCGAGCTTCTCCTTCTGCCTCCTGCTGCTGGAGAGTTTTCTCCTCCTGATGTACAGGTTTGCATCAGGCTGGCCAGCCCCAGAATAATTCAATTAACTGCTCAGCTGCCAACCAGCATTTCCCTGCTTTTTTACCTCCATCAGTGCCAAGAATTCCTTGGATTCTTTCTGTGGGTCAGCACCATCGCTGCCTTGTGCACCCCTTTCCCGTGGTGCAGGTCTTTAGGAGGATGCTCTCCCCTTCTGTCCATGCAGAGCAGCCCCAGTGGGGTTTGGAGAGGGATTGAAAGGCTGGCTGTGGGTTGTGTCAGCCTGAGCCTGTTTGGTATTCACAAATTGCTGCTGCAAGGTCAGGGATGGAAAGGATTGAGTGCAGCCCAGGGCTGCAAGCAGTTCATTAACATCAGTAAATTGTTCAGTGCCATTGCCTGCACGGGTCAGCCCCTCTCTCTAAAGAAAGCCTGCATTAGTTTGGAAATTAAATTGCCTGTAAGGAAAAAAGGCTCTTGCTTTGTCATCATCAGAAAATCATGGAATGGTTTGGGTTGGATGGGGCCTTAAAGCTCATCCAGTTTCCTCCCCTTCCACCATCCCAGCTTGCTCCAAGTCTGGGTGAGGACAAAGCAACACAAACAAAATCTACCCCCAGGTTCAGCCAGAGCCCAGCAGAACCCCTGGGCTCTTCTCTGGAGACCCCTGAAATCAAAATCAGGTTTCATACTCTGACAGGGGATGGAATGAGATGAGCTTTAAGGCCCCTTCCAACCCAAACCATTCTCTGATTGTGTGAATCTAATTCTGAGCATATTTAACTTGATTTGTGCCCGGAAGGCAAAATCCCAGCAGAGCCCAGACACAAAACAGCCACGGAGAGAGATCACAGCCTTGCAGAAGTCTCAGTTGGTAAATGTACCCTCAGTGTCTTCAGGCAGATCCTCCAGACTGAGTTTATGTGTTAACAGTGTTCAAAACAATAAAGAAAACACCCAGCTTTGCATTTTGCCCAGAATATTCATCTAATTCCTAGCTGTCAGTCCCACCCTGGCTCAGACGTGTCATTTCCATGTCTACATGAGCCTGTCAAGACTTCCTGTCCCAATTCCAAACATCCTTGTGCACATCTGGCGTTACCGAGATCAAATTCAGGAGCAGTGGCTGGTGGGATTCTGGCAGTGTCAGGGAGCATCAGCAGCACAGCAGAAATAATTTGTGTTGATCACAGCTCCTGTGCCTTGGGGCTGAGAGCTGGGGAAGGAGGTTTGGATGCTGCTGAACCAAACCTGGGCTCCAGGGTGGAGCTGGGCTCTCTCCAGCTCGGTGGGAGATGCTGGGGATGTCAGAGGCTCTTTAAGCACATTCCAGCATGGTTTGGGCAGTAAGCAGGAGCTGAGGCTCTGCCCTTTCCCTGCTCACAGGGAAACAAGGACCCTCTCCAACCCCACCATGATTCTCCCCATTCTCTTTTTTTTTTTTTTCTTTTTTTTTGCCCCTGTTCTTTCTAATGGAATTATAAATGAAAAAAAAAGGCCCAATTTTGTCCCTGCAGCTCCCACCCATGCTTGGCCCCACAGAACCAACAACCCACAAAGAGGAGCCCACCAGGGGCACTCCAGCCTTCTGCTGCTGTGTTAAAGCAGTCAGGGTTTACTGGTTTGGGGTTTGCTTTCCTCTGTTTACCAGTGATGCAAATTTACCTGATAATACCTGAAACCAGAATTAGACCCGTGTTCCTCTTTCCTGCTCTTAAATCCCAGCGGGTTTGGGATGACCCTGGCAGGGCAGGGTTTGAGGATCTCCACTTCCCCGACATCTCAGCTCTTTCCTCCCAAACACCTTTGGATCTGGAAGTCCAGGAAGAGACAGACAGGGGCAGTGTTGTTCCTTGCAGAGGGGTTTGCGTGCAGCAGAACCATCCCTGGCCGGTTCCAAGCAGGAGTTGAATCATTAACCGGGCACTGTGGAGCAGCCAGGGGTTGTTTCCATTAATTAAAGACAGCTCTGAGCACACACAGGCTGTGCTGAGGTGCTGGCAGCAACATCCACATCTTGGGAGGGATGGAGCCCCTGCCTGTCCTGGTGCTGCTCCCAGGGAGAGGATTCCCCCTCCAGCACATTTGTCAGAGGAAGGAAAAAGAATTCCCTTTACAAGCACAGCCCAGAAGAATAAATTCTAAAAAAATTTCACTCTGATTTAGCAGTGCAAGGTGCAAGGCAGTGGTGCTGCCCCAGGAAGCTCTCCTGTAATTCCATGATTTTATGACTCTCTAAAATAACACTGAATATTCCCAGGGGGTTCCCACCATCACTTGTAGCCCATTTTCCTGCTCACAAAGCCAATCCTTTGCTTTGCTGCTCTCAGGGCAATAAATGCCCTCAGGCAGAGCAGTTCTGCTGGAGCCCAGCCAGGAGTGGGGAATTTATGGCTTGGTTTGGTACAAGACACAACAATTACTGCAATATGAGGAATCATATCACGATTAACAGCACAAAACGGCTCGGTGGAGATTTATCTCCAGCCAGGGAGGTTCCAAAGTGCTCCAGGGTTTGTTTTACCCAGAACACAGCCTGCTCTTCACACCCTGTCTGACCCGACAGGGGAAGAGCCAAGCCCTGGAGGACTGCAGAACAAAGTGCTTCCTCTAAACCTCCTCTGAGCCCCTGCACTCCTCACCCACAGATGTCCTGGAGGGTCACAGGGTGCTGGAGCCCTCAGAGGGGCCACAGGTGGTGTAGGATCGAGGATGGAGAGATCTCTAAAGCCAGGTTTTGGAACTTGTGGTTCATTGCAAAGGGTGTGGGTGAAAGGGCCCAGCTTGGAGCTGCCAGCTCGGAGCAGGCTGTGAGAGCAGGAGGGCAAGAGGAAAAAGAGTAAAGAGAGAGCAGCGGGTAAGAGGTGAGAAGTAAGAGACTAAAAGAGCACCAGAGAAGTAAGAGCACTAAGAGAGTAAAATAATAGCATAAGAGAGCGAGGTTCTTATAATACAATCAATCTCTTTTTGTGTTGAATATTCTAATTCTCACTCACCAATCTAATACAAGATACAAATCCTATAACATTTACATACAGCCTATAAAAATCATTACATCACCGTACTGTGTTACACTTTAAACCCTAAAAACTGCTCTTTGGACCCCCTTTACCAATCCAGCAGGGTCTTCTCTGCTCCTTGGCCCTGTCTGCAGGCACAGGGGATTGTTCACTCAAGAGGGGATTACTTTCAGCTGCCCACACTATTGTTTTCTAGTTCAGTAATTAAGGTTTGCTATCTCAAAGATGGCTTTCATTTCCATCTTGCTTATAATTCCCATATTCTCAAAATCTTTTGCCAGGCAATCACATTTATAAGGTTTTCTATTTCCATCTTCCCCATCAAGGTGGGTTTTTGTCTGCAGCTTTTCATGGAAGGCAAAGCAGCCCAAAGCCCCTGGCAAGAGCTGAAATGCCTCCATGGTTCTGGAGCTGTCAGCACATCCAAACTCCTCTCAAAGATTTGGTTCCTGCAGAAGAGGAATTGTGTTCATGTGAAAAGTGCCCCGAGTTCCATCCTCAGCCCCTGTGGTCTGAACCCACCTTGTTCACATTTAGGACGAAACTTGAAGCAGGAACCATCTTTTTGACCCCAAAACAGGATGGAAACACAGACATGAGCTCAGAGGAGGTCCAGCCAAACCCCAGGTGTCTGAGGAACCTTCACAAAGTTCTCCATGTGAAGTTCTGCCTGGAAGTGGCTCAGAGCAAACACCATTTCTTTACATGCTGTGTGTTCTATACGAAAGCATTTTGTCTGTAGAGCAGGGGAATTCCTCTCAAACTCTGCAATTTCTGCTCCTGGCCTCTTCACCCCTTTTTTTTCCCCCTTCTGTGATGTCATCACATCCCTAGATAGCTAGAAAAGACCATTTTTGGGTCTTTTTGATGACATCTCTGCTATTCCTCTGAGCATTTTGACCATCTCCGTCTCCACAATGCACAGCAAGACCTCAGAAGGTTTTTAGTGCACCTATTTTAAAATCTACACGCCAATACATGAAAAAAAAAAGAATTAAACATCAAGAGAAAAGCAAAGATTGACTGAGCTGCAAGCTGCAAAAATAACTTTATAAAACAAAATCTGAGCTGGAGGTGGAAGAAGAGAAAATTTCCAGCACCAGAAGCATCACAGTCTAAGGTAGGTGAGCCTCAATTTGCCCTTAAAATAATGGTTTGGGGTGAATAGTGCTGTTGTAAAGTGATTATAAGTGAGAGATTTCACCTACAGTATGTAACAGTTCTGAAATTCAACATAATTGCTTCTATAAAAATAAAGGTAGGGATTTAGGATGATTTTTCTCCCCACTGTGCCTTTATATTTTTTTCCTTTTAAATCTATAAATTAAATTACTGCCCTTTTTTAGCCAAGAACACCCAAAAATATTATATAGATGAGGTAAAATGCATCCCAGTTCTGGATGGTGGCAGGATAATGATTCAGTCAGGTGCCAAAAATGGATCCTGTAAACATTTTCACAATACAAGAGTGAAATAAAGACAGGAAAAACCCCACCATGCATGATTTACTCCTGGGATTTCTCTCGCTCATTCTTGTCTCTTTCTGCTTTATATTTAATGCCTATTTGTGGGTTAGCATTGAAAAACAACTCCTTGTCTAAAAACTAACATTTTCCTTTTAAAATTCCTTTATTTTTGGGCAAGGACAGGTCAGAGACTCAGAGCCAGCAGGGAGGCATCGCCCTGCCCTGAGCAGAGCATTCCAGAGGTGGCCACAATCTCCCTCTTTTTGCTTGAAAACACAGAAATCAGCAAAACCAGCAGGAAACAGAAATCAGCAAAACCAGCAGGAAACAGAAATCAGCAAAATCCCATCCCCAAGGAGAGATTTGTGAGGATTGCAGAGGGAGGGCTGGACATGGTGCTTCTGTTCCTTTTGGCAGCTCTGCTGCAAGGTGAGTCAGGAAGAGTCCCCAGCCCCTGGGAAGAGCAGGAAAAGCTGGAGCTGGGGACACAGGATGTTTTCTTCTGGCTGAATCCTCCCCTGGACACCAAACACCTCCACCTGCAGTGTACAAACCAGTCTGGCCACCCCCCTGTCCACCCCAGCCTGCAGAGAGACAAAAAACTCTGCTGAGAGCTGGCAGGAAAACCCCAGATCTCCTGCAGCATCCACAGGGAGAGGGATGCTGCCAGGTCGGGCAGGGTTTGTAAATGCCAAAGGGTTTTTCCAATAATTTCTGCCCCTGAACTGTAACTCCAGGGCTGGGGGGTCCTGTGAGGGGCATTGGGGGGCTCCCCATCTGTGCCAGTGGCTCTGGAACCAGGGGTACTCAGGGAGGGCAAACAACACATCCCAAATGGAATTTCTGTGACTCCAGGGGCACTCAGGGAGGGCAAACACCACATCCCAAATTTTCTGTGGCACCAGGGGCACTCGGGGTGGGCAAACACCACATCCCAAATGGAATTTCTGTGGCACTCAGGGTGGGCAAACACCACCTCCCAAATGGAATTTCTGTGGCACTCGGGGTGGGCAAACACCACATCCCAAATGGATTTCCTGTGCTCTGGTGCCCCTCAGAACCACAGCCCTGCCTCCAAGGAGCGCTGCAGGGTGCTGCTGGCTGGCTGTCAGTGACCAAACCTTGTGTCCCTGTCCCCTAAGGGCTCGTTTCCAGCAGCCTGCACGGCTCCAGGTTTTTGGCAGGAGAGCTCGGAGGCTCCATCACCCACCAGTGCTTCTACTCCACCACCCCAGCCAACAAACACGAGCGGAAATATTGGTGCAAAACATCAGCAAGTGGCGTCTGCTACACCATCGTCTCCAGCAGGTTCATCTCCAGCGAGTACAGGGGCAGGGTGGCCCTGCGGGATGTCCCCCAGAATGGCACCTTCAGGGTGACAATGACAGGGCTGAGGAGCAGCGACTCGGGCACCTACAGGTGTGGCATCGGCAGCACCAATGAAGGGCTCTACGTCAGCCTCAACCTCACCGTTTTGGCAGGTGGGATTTTCTCCTGGCTCCTAAGAGAGGTTTGGGATCAGGTGCCTGATCAGCTTTTTCTGTTAACTGGGTATTTATCATTTTGGGGTGTAAAAGCGCCCAGGTTTGGCCAAATCTGCTGTTGAGGAATGTGAAAGGAAAAGGCTCTCCTGCCTGTCAGAAATTCAGGTTTGGAGATTCTGGGGAAATGTCTGAGTGAATGGGTTTTGGAGAAGGGAAGAACTGATGGAGTTTCAGGGTGTGAACTATGTGTGGATAATATTGAGTTATTATAAGTTAAAAGATGAATATTTATTATCCTAGAGCAGAGCTCAGGAGCATGGCCTGGGATAACTCATAGAGCCAAAAGGCTGGGGCAGGTTTTTGGGGGCTGTGGGTGCTCACAGTCCCTGTCCTGCTCTCTCCCCACAGATGCCCCAGTGTCGAGGCCAACCCAGCTCATCCGAGGGGAGCTGCACGGCTCTGTCACTGTCCTGTGCCCCTCTGGGGACACCCAGAGGGACCAGAAGAGGTTCTGGTGCAAAGTGGGCAGAAGCAGCTGCACTCTCATGGGCAGCTCTGATGGCTTTGTGAGCAGGAGGCTCCAAGGACGGATCGTTATCAGCCCCCAGGAGAGCTCTGGAGCTTTCAAAGTCCTGCTAAATGACCTAAAGAAGGAAGATTCGGGGCTGTACCTGTGTGGGACACAGGGATGGAGGGGGCAGGAGATCCTACAGGAGGTGGTTCTGCAGGTGGCCACAGGTAGGACAGGACATGGGGGGGCTCAGTGCTGGGTGAGGGGCACGAAATCCTAATTGTGAGCCCTAATTGTGTTCCCTAATTGTGTGCTCTCCCCTGCAGCCTCCACCCTGCCCAGGAGACCCAAATTCCTCAGTGCCACAGTCGGGGGCTCGGTGTCCTTCCAGTGCCACCACGACCCCAAGGGCACCTACGAGAGGAAATACCTGTGCAGGTGGGAGGCAGGGAGCTGCCAGGTGCTGCTGGACCACGAGGGGTTTGTGCTGCAGTCCCACCAAGGGAGGATCCAAATGTCCAGCAGTGACCCCGGCAGCTCCACGGTGGTGCTGAGGCAGCTGAGGGAGGAGGATGAAGGCTGGTACTGGTGTGGGGCCAGCAGTGGGCACACTGAGCTCACGGCCCCCCTGAAGCTGCTCATCCACAAGGGTAAGGTGGTGGCATGGCCTGGATGGTCCCCAAAGCCTTGCACAGTGACAAAGAGCAGCTCCACACTTGCATTATTAGCCAGCAGCTGAGGGGATGGGGAAGGGTTTTGGGGGTCAGAGAGCTGGGCTTTGCAAAGCAATTTAATAGGTTTGGATGATATTATTAATTACTCACCATGCAAACCCCCAGGATGTGACGTCTTGGTCCTGGCAAGTGCAGCACAGGGAGATGCTTGGCTCTGGAGATAAGCTGAAGTTATCTTGCAGTTTGAGAAACTGCAGAGTGTAAATAGACAGGTCCATGGAACTGCTGCTCTGGCAAAGGAAGGAAGAGTGGGGTTAAAGCAGGGATGTTTGCCAGGTATTCAGGTTTTCCTGAGTGCTCTCTGTGGCACTCCAAAGAGAACAGAAATGCCCGAGTCTGGTGTATTTTCACACGAGATGCAAAGTGAAATGTGTAAATCTTTGGTAAATCTAACAAACGCTTTCCTTTGGGTATTAAATCCTCAAAACAATGTTCTCTGCAGAAACCTGCTCCTCACGAGACCCAGGAACAAGAACACGTGTAAGACCCACTGCACCGAGTCCTGCTGCCCACAGCACAGCCTGGCACAGGAGCATGGCAGGGATGGGCAGTGTCCCCAAGGCCACCACGATGGGCAGTGTCACCCAGGACACCACCATGGGCAGTGTCCCCAAGGCCACCAGGATGGGCAGTGTCCCCAAGGCCACCACCGTGGTCACTGTCACCCAGGGCAGCAGCTCCCTGCTGCCCACTGCCACCCCTGGCACCTCTGCAACCTCTCCAGGTGAAACCTCCCAGGAGAGGTGAGTCCACAGCCACACCCTGGTGTTTTCCTGCCCTTGTGCCCCATTCCCCAGGGCCCTGTGGAAGCTGTGCACAGCTGACAACACCTCCAGGACACAGGACAAGGGACAGAAGGTGACAAGGTCACCTCATGTCCGGGCTCACTTTGAGCTTGTCTGTGACCCTGCTGGTGCTGGCTGCTCCTGTGGAGCAGATGCCAGAGTCAACAGCTGTGCCTGAGCTCCTGCCTGTTTCCCTGGGCTCGGGATGGACACAGGACCTTGGGAAACATGGCTGAGGTTTGAGCAAGAGCCCTGGGGCACGTGTGGCTGCTGCCCAGCTCAGGACAGCCCTTCCCCAGCCCTGCAGCCCACGGGCAGTGCTGGGAGCTCGCTGCTGGACCAGGAGGGAGCTTTGGGCAAGGTTCATCCAAAGGCTGGGATTGTTTTGGGCAGGAATTATTCCCCACACCAGTTCCTGTGTCTCAGCCCAGTGCAGGTGGCTCCCCAGTGGATTTGGCTGCTGTGCTCCCTGTGAGCAGCTCCAGCTCCTCCCCAGCCACGGCCACCAGCCAGCCCTGCTGAGGGATCTGCTGCAGATGCAGCAGGAATTGCAGAGTCAGCCAGAACCCAGCTGGGCAAAGTCCACAAATCCAGTTCAATATTGAGATGAAAACCTCACATCTACCCCCATCCTGCCCATCCCAGCTCCCCCCAGCCACAGCTCCCTGCTGAAAGAAAGAGGGAAGGCACCTTCCAGAAAAGCGAGGGTTGTAACAGCTCACCCAGAGGATGTATTTGTATTGCTTGTGGATTTCTGTCGAGCAAACAATTGTATTTGTATTGAGCTCGTTTTCCCTTCGGAGGGGCCAGTTCAGCTGGCAGCACAAACCCCACAGAGCAGCTGGAGGAATCACTTCCTCGTAAGTCAAACTCCAGATCAAATGATTGCAGCTCTCCTTGGCGCTGTTGACTTTCCTTTTATTCAGTCAGAGATTACAACTCTTTGGAACTCTTTAGAGTGAAAACAAACCACCTGCATGAGCCATTAAAGTAGCTCCAAACCCAATTTAACCCTGCTGGTTCATCTTCCCAGCTCCTCAGGTGAGCCACAGCTGCTCCCAATTGTGTTACCAGCTCTGCTTCTGCTGATCTGCATCACCATCACCATCCTCACCCTGGCCAAAATCAAGCTCCAAAAGCAGACAGGTAAATTGGCCAGGCAGGACCTTTTGGGGCTGCAGTGGTTGTTTTGCAAGGGTTTTGCTTGTGCTGTCCAAGGCCCCTGGAATGTTTCCATCTCCCAGACACGTGTCAGTCTGCAGCCCCAGAGCGCTGCTGGACCTGCAAGCAGAGTCCTTGAGAAGTTGTTTGGTTTTGTTTTCAAACGTGCTCCAATGCAAAGCAAATGAAAGAAATGGAAAAGCTGAAGCCCTGCTGAAAGCGAGGCTGGGGTTTTGTGCACAGAGGATTTGTGGAAAATCCTGGAGGGAGGGACCTGTGTGGTGTGAGGGTCTGGGGCCAAATCCAGCTCATTCCACTCACAGCTGACAAAGACAGCCCCCAAAAATCCCTTCTAATAACTGATTTACAAAGACACGTGTGTCTATCTTAATCCAGGCCATGTTACATCCATACAAATAAATTTAGGGACAGAAAACCCTCAGCAATGACAGCAGTGAGGGGAAATACATTATCCCCAAGAAGGAAACTGTGAAATAATGGCCCAGTTTGGTGTCTGACACAAAGAGGTGCTGGTGGGAGGGTGTTCCCTGCAGTGCACCCGTGTGTTTTGTTTTAAAGGAGAAGCAAAAGGCACCACGGGGAGCCTGGAGCCAGCTTTGACCCACGCTGGGCTGAGCCCTGGAAGGGAGGAAAGGATGGAGGAGAACCCAGGAGAAGAGCAGGAATTCAGGATGGGCTCTGGCAAATGTAGGTGGGTGTTTGCTGAGAAGGGCACTGCAAGTCTCCCTTGATAAAAGAGAATAAACTCAGATTTTAAGCAGGGAATTTGTGGCTTAGTAAGGAAAACACCTCCACGAGGGGGGAGCCAGGTTTGCAGTCCAGGAATTACAATCCACAGTCCAAGAATCACACCCTCCTGCCAAACTCTTGCCTTTACTACTTACCAAGAAACCTTAAGCCATGGATTTCATCAGACTTGGATTAAATCCTATATAATTTTTATATATTTATTGTAGGCCCAATTATAATTTTTGATTGCAAGTGGTAAAGCTGTTATCGCTCTTCCTGCCTCTTTCAGTAAATTCTGGTTACTTATCACCTTTCTCAGCATTACAAAGAAGTCATTATTATTCACTGTGTTGCAACGATGCCATTCTTTTTTGTTCTCTTGTGCAGGACAATCTCTGCTATCCTTGGAAATATCAGGATGATCAGCTTCTATGTAAGAGTCTCAGATTGTTGATGATTTTAGAGAAAAGCTCCTGTAAAAATCATCTGAAAAAAATATTTTGAAGTGTGCCTTATCTGTAGGAACCTGTATCAGTGAGAAGGACCCTGCTGGAAAAAAAGTATTAGTGGAATCAGAAATGTGGTGATTTCATGTTCTCACTCCAATGCACTCAGAGCCAACAGGGGTCTTCTGGTCCTAAATACAAAGAATAGAAAGAAAAATTATACCTCCCCTAAAACCTTGAAAACAAACTGTAAACATTCTGGGGAAAACTCCTAAAGGGAAGAATGAAACCCAGAAATTATTTGTGCCTTTTCTTCCCAGATGTCTGGGTTGGGGTAAGGCCTGGGATAATTCTCTTGACTGAGCAGGAGGTTGACTCCAGAAATCCCCTCTCACCTTTGAATGAGAAAAGGTTTCTCCACCTTTCTGTGCTCAGAACTCCTTGAAATATAATTTAAAATACCAAGTTTGACACAAACCCAGAAACACCTATGGAATGACTTCTACAAACACCACAGAGAGGCAAAGCCAGATCACAGCTTCTCTTCTCTTTCATTATTTTACAGTTACCCCATGGAGAAAAATTCCCTTTCCAGGTGCCTGATGAAGACTTGAGCCAGAACCTTCTGTGAAAGCCAAGCCCCCAACACCTCCCACTGCTCTCCTGAGAACCCAAATCCCCTTTGCTGAGAGCTGAACCCCCACAGTGCCCAAATTTCCCCGTGTTTTGCAAAAGAGAGAATAAAATAACACTCCTGAGCCTGGCTATTTGTGAGTTGTTTCCCTGAGGGAAAAGTAAATCTGGGGAGGGAAGGACCTGTGTGGATTCAGGGTTGCTCATATCAGAGAATCACAGAATGGTTTGGTTTGGAAAGGATCAGGCTGCTCAAAAAAATTAGGATTTTCTGGGTTTTCGTTTTTTTTTTTTTTTTAATCCTGATCCATGGAGTAATTTTTCAATGTGTTTTCTCAGGCACCCACATTCCCAAAGTGCTATTTTTTCCTTCACTTCTCCTGCAGGGATATCCAGAGCGTCAGAACCAGCTCAAATCCAGCCCAAACACAGCCCAGCCCTGAGCAGCAGCGTTGGTTTCACACTCAGAAAATTCACACTCGTGGCTCAGGCTGCAGTCTGCACTCCCCAAATAAAAGCAATCCGAAGGTTGTTTGTTCTCTGGAGATGCCAAAATGCTTTGGAACCTGTAACTTGGCAGGGAAACATTTCCTCGTGTGCTTAAGCAAGGAAATAAATTTCAAATATATTTGCATGAGGCAAGGGATTGGTTTTTACTGGAAACCCTGAGGGTGAAAAGGGGGGTTTGGTTAAAAAAAACCTGTTCATTCACCTTGGATTTATTTTTCCTGTTTGAGATGTGCCAGCAGTTACAGGTTCCCATATTTCTGCCAGGTTTTCCTCTGCCCATGGCCATCCCACCTTCCTGTGCAAGGTCTTAAAAACAATTTCCAAACCTCTGCAGGATACACAGGGGAGCTGATCCCGAGGGATTCGTGCCTGGGAGGATGGGAGCTGCAGGACAGCAAACACAGCTGTGCCCACTGTGCTCCAGCCAGCTCAGCTCAGTGGCCACGAGGCCAAAAATGAATGCCAGCCCTACCTGGGGAATGTTTGGGGTGCCCAGGGGAGCTTGCAAGGGATCAGGGTTTGTTGCCATCGAGGAGAGGTGGTGGTGGCTGTTGTCTCAGTCCAAGATCCCCACCAAGCACAGCAGCAGCCAACAGCTCCTTCCTCACCCCAACAGCTCCTTCCTCACCCCAACAGCTCCTTCCTCACCCCAAGAACTCTTCCTCACCCCCAACAGCTGCACATTCATAGAAAAAATGGAGCTCAACACCCTCAGCTAAACGAAAGGCTATTTCCAAGTCTGGGTTTAGGATCTGACAAACCTGTTGAAGATCCCAATTCTGGGTCAGGATCTTGCTGCTCCCAGGCACTGCAGGAGCTGCCATCACATCACACATCACATCAAACATCAGTTTGCACTGAGTGGATGAGAAAAGCTCCAGGTGACCCCTCCATTTAGAAGGAATTCCTGCTTTTGCCTCATTAAAACGATGCAAAGCAAGGAATCACAGCTGCCCTGGCTGCACGGGTCCTGCCCGAGCAAAAAGAGGCACCCAAAGGATTCTCCATGGACTTGACCCCACAGAGCCACCAAACTCCTTCCCAAAGGAGGCAGAGGAGCCCTGGGAGCCCCCCCAGCCCTGGGGACAGCCCGGAGGGACAGCAGAGCTGGGCTGGGCAGTGGCTGGACATTGGCATTGGCATTGTCTGGACAGGGGCTGGACATTGCCATTGGCTGGACATTGGCATTGTCTGAACAGGGGCTGGACATTGGCATTGGCTGGACATTGGCATTGTCTGAACAGGGCCTGGACATTGCCATTGGCTGGACATTGGCATTGGGTGGACATTGGCATTGGGTGGACGTTGGCATTGGCTGGACATGGGCTGGGCATTGGCTGGACATTGGCACTGGCTGGACATTGGCATTGGCACTGGCTGGGCATTGGCACTGGCTGGACATTGGCATTGGCTGGACATTGGCATTGGCACTGGCTGGACATTGGCATTGGCTGGACATTGGCACTGGCTGGGCATTGGCATTGGCACTGGCTGGACATTGGCATTGGCTGGACATTGGCATTGGCTGGACATTGGCACTGGCATGGCTGGACATTGGCACTGGCTGGACAGTGGCACTGGCTGGACATTGGCACTGGCTGGGCGTGCCCGGCCCTCCCCTGGGCAGAGCTCACCTGGCAGCAGTGCTGGATGTTGCTCCTTTAAGGCAGCACAGGTGGGAATGCAGGGCTGGAGGTGCAGGACTATTTAAACCAGGCTGGCAGTGCCACACTGGCCACTCACTGAGAGGAAAAGCAAGACGTGCCAGGAGGAGCCTGGAGTGTGAGTAAAGCTGCTTTGGCACCTTGGGGAATGCACAAACCTTTGGAGGGCCGTGGTGGGGAGGGGAAGGAGAAGAACACGGCTCCTGAGCCACTTTTGGGGACCCTTCCTCACACTGGGGCAGTTTGGAGCCATCTCATGTCCAGAGCTCGCTGGTGGGAGGCTGATTTCTCCTGAAAGAACCCTAGGAACAGACTTATGGCAGTTATGTTTTTTTTTAATCTGCAGCAGATTTTCAATATTTAATTTCTGAAAAACAAAACAAAACAAAACAATAGATTAATTATCATTACAATATTTGCATTAAGTTTTAACATCAGAAATAAAAATTCGTAAATATTACTGTAGTAATCTAAATTTCGCGGCTCAGGTTGAGGTCATTACTGGCTTTTTAATCCCAACAGGCAGATTTTGAAATTTTAGAAGAGAATTGCTGCAGTTGTGCCCTAAAGGAGCTGCTTTAGAAGCTCCCTGAGAAGTTTGTACAATTACAGGAAGAGAAACAGAGCCTGAAGCTTGAATGAATGGACAGGATGTGATCTCCTAAAAGTGAGATCCGAGGAGCCTGGCAGAGCCCTGTCCCAGTGAATTCCTGAATTCCTGCTCTGCAAAGGGAACATTCCTATAGATTTAATACATTTCTAGAGTACAAACAAACATCTCCTAATTGCAATTGTTAATGAATCCACACTGGCACCATCCATCCCTCCAGACTGAGTGCCCTTGGGCCATGGCACGTTCCTGCTCCTTGCAGGCAGAGCAGAATTAAACTATAATAATTTAATAGTGCTGAAGTTGGTTTCACTTTCCAGCCCAAGGAACAAATGAACCATGAAAATCTGATCTGAAAAGCAACAAGTGGATGGAGGATCTGAAAGGAACATAAAATCAGGTCTCAGGTTAGTGTAGAGTGGATCCAACAGCAGAAAGGAACAAACTTGGGCCAGCAGCACAATCTCAGCTGGGATTTCAGTTACTGCCACGACCGTTCATTCTATTTAATTTCTTTTCTGAAATATGTTGCTCATATGTTTAAGTGACACAAACATTCTTAGTGCACTGCAGGCATTCCTAAAAGCTGCTGATTTCTGGTAAATCCTGTTAATCTTCAGCAAGTTCTACCTCAGTGTTTCTGCTCACTGCATCACCAAACCAGCCCCTCCTTTATTCCCTCAATACTGTGAAGGAGGCATCTGCTGGGGACTGGAAATGTTTATTTTCTGCACCTGTTTGGGTCAGCTCGATCTTTTATCTGGATGTTGATTGCTCCTTCTTAACCCCATGAAAATGGGGTGGATTGGTGGCTTTTCCCCATTCCACTGCAGCAAATAAAACCCACAGCAAGGCAAAATCAGGAGTGAACCTTGATGGGCAGCTGAAGATGGGAATAATCCAGTTCCTGTGCAGGATGAAATTTGTTGCTGTGCCTTTTTCCCTTTTTCTGGCCTCCAGCACCTCCTCACAGCACAATTCTCTCTACAACAATTTACTTCTGCACAGCTTCCCCATGGGCCAAAAGGATTGGAGGGGGAAAATATTACCTATATATAAAATATGCAGAATATATGAAATTTATTACCTCTATGTTATTATTTCTCAACTATTTGAGTAGCAGCAAACATTCCACAAAAAGCCAGAAGTGCTCCCAGACGGAATGACAAAATATCACAATTAAACCTTCGTGTTTTGTCAATCCCATGGCCCAGCCTTGACATTGGTCATTGCAGGAACAATAGTTAATATCTAATGGGCTGCACGGGGCTGATCCCTGCAATCCCTGCAGCAGGAATTCAGCAGAATTTGGGAATTGAACTCTGCTCTTCCATACCCAGACAGAGCAGCTTTGCACAATTTGGGGTTCAGGTCCTGTTCTCTTCCAAATCATCATAAATCCGAAGATAATTCTCCCCTGGAGTGACAGAATCCCAAAAGCACAACAGAAATGCGGGGAAAGTCTTGTAATGGATGAGATTTGGAAGAGCCAGCCTGGCCAGAGAGCACTGGAAACCTGGAAAATACCAAAATTTAGGCATAAAAAAAGCAATGGAGAGGAAGGTGATGGTCCCAACCCAGGTCCAGAGAAGTGTCCTGGAATTGACCATCAGCTAATTTAAAGAGTAAAAAACTAAACACTAAAAACAAATCCATAAAGTGGGACTGGCTGAGGGGGGTCTGCCCTCCCCAGGGCTTTACACAGCACTAAAATGTCCTTGCACAGGTTTAGAGCCCAGCACCAAATCTAGACTGAGTGTTATTCATTCCCAGGACCACACGAAGACAACAACAACAACAAAATTATCTGTCCCGAGTTAGAAAGCAAGAAAAAATATCATTATATTGTAATTAATCCACTTGTATTTTAAGAGCATCTGAGAAAACAGTGCTGGGGACAGCTCAGAGCTGAAGGTGTTGGTGGAACACCAGGAACCCCTGGTTTGGGCAGGCAGAGATCTTGGGAACCCTTCCAGACCTGACAGGGGCTGCACCCCAAAAACAGCCGAACTTTTGGAAGAAATCAGAAGAACAGATTATTATTTCAGCTCTGCCAAAATGGGCAAGGTTGCTCTGGGTCCTGCTTGCACCACAGGCTGGAGGGCAGTGAGGTGACATCAGGGCACAGCTGTCAGCCAGGGGCAAACATCAAGGCTCTCTTTGTGCCACGTTGTTTGCTCTCTGCAGAATTTGTCATGTTTGCCTTGCTGGCTACTTCAGAGATGTGCTTGAAAGAGAATTTTTCATGCTCAGTGAGTTAATAATTAGCCAAGGACAAGTGGCCATTGAGCAAGGAGAAATCACAATACAAGGAAGAGGCACAACAGAACACCTTTCATCTTAACAGGGAAATAAAAACTGGGAATTACCCTCAATAAAATTGTTTCACCTGATGCCCTGAATTTAAATCCCTCTGATTGTTCACGAGGGTTTTTCTTGGCACTTCTCATCAGCTCCCGTGGGTGCCTTGTGGATCAAGAGGTGTGCTCAGGAAACGCACATAAAAATCTGATTTTTGGAGGAGCAGAGCTGAAGTAAATCCCTCATTCAATTCCTCAGCAGCTGAGGAAAGAATTAAGAAGTAGAAGTGAAAATATCACCCTTTTCCTCTTTTGTGTGTCCTTGGAGAGACCAGGGAAACAGAGAGAGTCACTAAATCCAGGCTCCAGTCAGGAATTCTGTCACAGAGGGAATATTGGGGAGTTGGGATGAGATCCATGGGCAGTCCTGGTCCCCAGCAACCCGGGCAAGAACAGAGATATCAACTCCCTTTTTCCCATCCAATTCCTCGACAGGAGAAATTCAAAACCATATTCCCCTCTCCTTCCACAACCCTCAAGGTTCTTAGGTGATTAACATTTTGCAGCTGTGATTATTCAAGACCTTCCACGTCTTTTCCAGGGAATGCAAGAAAAATGATTTTACTGGCGTTCCTGTTCCTGCTCTCCTCGCTCCCAGCTGGGTCTGGAAGACTCAGACACCTCCCCAAGGCAGCCAGTGAGTGTCACCCAACTGGGACACAGCTTTTGGGGTGGCCAAGGACCAGGGGTGGCACAGGGAGGGGAGGAGAAGGGTCTGGGTGATGCCCTGGAACAGGCTGACCTAGAATCAGAGGCCAAAGTAAAAATGATAAAAGTGGATTATTTATTGAAATCCGTCAGGGATATCGAGGGCAGATGAAGCCTCCCGAGAGGCTACACCCAAACTGGATGATGGTCACGAGTTTCTCAGATATAAGTTTGGTCTATTTGCATATCAGAGGTTAATTCTCCAATTCCAGCTCCGGGTAATGAAGTCACCTTCCCCCAGTTTGCTCCTCCATAATTCACTTTTTTGATACTTTGTGGGGCCTGAGGCTGTAGGGTGTCCTCAAGCTCCAGGCTCAGAGGGATTGTTTGGTCTGACCAAAATGTGAATTTAACACTTTCTGTGGAGTTAGGCATTAATGCAGTGCAGGATATGAAAAACATAAAATCTAAAATCCCACAGCATCACGGGGAACATCTTTACCTCATGGGTGCCCCTCACTGCCACGGGACCTCGTGGGCACCTGATGCCACCTGGCCCGTGTGGCACCCAGGACACTCACCTTATGGTAGCACTCACAGCTGGTCTGTGGGCCACAGAGGGTTAATGAATAAGGATTATTTATGAGAAATTTTCTATCAAGGCCGTTGGCCTGGAGACCAAGAAGAGAAGAAGGAGACAAGCAGGAAAGAAAACCTGCAGCTGGGAGAAATATTTTAGAATATTAGTATATTTAATTTAATGTCTTATATTTAATTATTAAGTAATTTAGTATACTAGAAAAGTCTTAGGTGGAGATGGTTTTACACCAATAAACGTTGTGTTGATCTATTGTAACCAATGAACAAAGTGTAAACTTTGTAGAGGGTATAAAAAAACGGTATAAAAGAGGGTATATAAAGCCGGCTGTTGCAATAAAAGGGATGTTAACCTGGAGAAATGTGGAGTGCCTACCTGTGTGTCACACCCCGCCTGTTGTCCCCGCAGTCTCCAGCCCGGTGTTCGGCCCCCGGCAGGTGCACGGCGTGCTGGGCGGCTCAGTCACCGTGAAATGCTTCTACCCTGCCACCCCCGCCAACAGACACGCCAGGAAATACTGGTGCAGGCAGGTGGGCTCCAGGTGTACCACCGTGGTGAGCACGGAATACGTGGCTCCTGCCTACCAGGGCAGGATCTCCCTGAGCGACCACCCCGAGGCAGAAAACTTCCAGCTCAACATCTCAGCGCTGGTGCTGGAGGATGCTGGCACCTTCCAGTGCGGCTTGGGAGTCAATGGCAAGGGTCTGTCCCACGGAGTCACTCTCAGTGTTGCAAAAGGTAATTACAACCTTGGCATTCCCTAAAAAAAAAAAAAAAATTTTAGTTTTTTCACCCTGTCCCTTCCGAACGAGGCTGTGCCGATGGCGTGTCCGGTGTCTGAGAGCCTCGGGGGGTTTCAGGGAATTCCGTTTCTGTCTCTGTGCACAGCCCCACCCGTTCCCGAGGCAGCTGAGCTCTTCTACGTGAAGCTCCGCAGCACCTGGAGCGTGTCCTGCAGCTTTGGGGAGGACACGGCCGCCCAGAGGAGGTACCTGTGCAAGAAGGAGAAGGATGGCTGCCGGAACATCATCAACAGCTACCAGGAAATCGATCCGGATTTCCAAGGCAGAGCTCTGCTGACTTTTGAGGAGCCTCCAGGCTCGTTCAGTGTCACCATGACCCAGATGGACTGGGAAGACACGGGCTTGTACTACTGTGGGGCTGGTGAATATGGGAAGGAAGGAAAATCGAAGGAACTGGATGTGTTTGTCTACGAGGGTGAGCTGTTCCCAGGGTGTTTTCCCCTTCTCTCCTTCTCTTCACAAACATCACCAGCAGTCTCACTTTATTTAGCGAGAATTTGAAGTTTCTCCTTGCTATTATCCTATTCTCTCATCAACATCCTTTTTTTTTCTATTTAACCACCTGTAACATAGTAAACCATCACTAAATAAAGCTTAATCCATATGTCACCTTCCCAGAAGTGGATAGCTCTGCTCCCCAGCCCAAAAACCCCCAGGAGACAAATTCCACCCCCCCAGTCTGAGGCAAGCAAGCTGTGTCTTCAAGCCCTCAGTTCCTTAAATCTCAAACTGGCAGATGGGGATGGTCCCTCTAGCAAAAGGAACAAAGCTTTGGAATATCTGTCCACAAAGCCAACAACACTCAGTGAATTTGGGAAAAAGCAAGGCCTGATTGACCCTTTAGGATCAATTCCCACCAGTGCCAGGACAATCTCCTGATGTTTAACACCCCTGAGCTTTGCCTGGCCTTCCTTTAGCCATAGCAGCTTGGTTTGATCTGATAATGTTGATTTTTTAATTTTTTTTTTTGCCCCATGGACACAAGTGAGACTCTTATAATTTCTCATTTCATTCTCACCAACAGACAAAAATTTCCCTCAGTTAAAGACCACGGTAACTGGCAAAAATGGAAGTTCAGCCACCTTTGAGTGCCTCTATGATCCTCTAAAGAAATCCTCCACGAGGATCTGGTGCAAGTGGAGACTGCAGGGATGTGACAAGATCATAGACAACTCTGGCTTCGTGAAGTTTGGCTATGAGGGAAGAGTGGCCATGTTTGAGAACCCTGAAAATCAAACTGTCACCATCATCCTGAACCAGCTGCAGGCCAAGGACGAAGGCTTTTACTGGTGCTTGTCAAATGAGCTGAAGGAGCAGCAATCATCAACAGAACTGAAGGTTGTGAAAGGTAAGAGCCGTGCACTGGCAGCTCTCTGCCTGCTCAGGAGGTACAGAACCACCCCAAGTCAGCCAGCTGGCTTTTTTGGGAAGAGCTCCAAGCCTGAACTCCCCCCCCCCCAGCAGCTTTAAAACCGAGACAGAAAGTTTCAGTTTTGTGGGAATGAGCTCACAAAAAATTCTCGTGAAGCATTTCTGAAGCCTTGCAAGGAAAGGACCATAAGCAGCATTTTTAGTGTTAATTGAGGAACTCTTTCCCTCCAAGCTCCATCCCCAGCACTGAGAGCAGTCCCAGCAGCCCTGATGTCCTTTTTCCCCTCACAGGAGAACCTGCACTGACAGGAAAGAAGAAAGTGGAGGCACCAGCGGGCTCCAGGGTGAATTTAACCTGCTCCTACCCCTGCAAGTACAGTTCCTACGAGAAGTACTGGTGCAGGTGGAACTACACGGGCTGTGCTGTGCTGCCAGCACAGGAGCAGGGGCTGCCAGAGCCGGGTGCCAGCTGTGACACAGCCACCAGGACGGCTGTGCTGAGCTTTGAGGCGCTGCAGGAGGATGATGAAGGCTGGTACTGGTGTGGGGTGAAGCGCAATGGAATCCTCGGGGAAACCATGGCTGTGGAGCTGCGGGTGAGCTCAGGTGAGCTCCGGGCAGGGCTGGCACTGCTTGTTGGGTTTTGCCCTTTTCTGAGCCAGAGATGGGGCAACTGAGAGGTGTTTTTAAAAGCTTTTGTTCCGTTTTCAGTCTCGTATGAAGGGTGAGAAAATACGGATGTTAGAATTCACGCCATCACAATCAGACCGACTATTTCCTAATTACAAATTCAGCTTCGAGTGGTGATTTAGGAGGAATGGTTTGATGCCAAAAGGGGCTGGAAGTGCAGGTCAGAGTGGGGAAGCAGCAGGAGCTCGAGTGGCTCATCCCACCAGCAGCCCCAGCTACACTGGGCTCTCACAGGCCAGAAGGAGCATTGTGGAAAAAAAAAAAAAATTTCCTAATTACAATCACTATAGGCGTTTCTTGGCCCATCAGCTTTTGTCACATCATGCTGTAAAATGCCTCAAATCCAATAATCTAAAATCACCCTTCATGGGTTCTAGTACAACGCACCTTTCATAATTCTATTTCTCCAAAGTATCCAGTCTAATTTGCAAAGCCATCCTCTGGAAATTCTTCCTAGCTCCGTTTTCTCTCTCAACAACACCTGCCCCGTTCCGAGGCATTTCTAAGCCAGCATTTCTTGTCCCCGAGTTCGCACACAGGTGTGTGAGAAGTCTCTGCAGATCCCTCCCCACACCAGGGAGTCTCTCCATCACCGCTAGGCTGCAGCAGCCCCAAACAGAAGCGCCGTCACCCCGCAGCCTCCCGGCACGTTTTGCCCTCGGGGTTTTCATTCACTCAGTTTTCACTTCCCAGTCATGAGAAACCCAGCCTAGAACTCACCTCTTTCCACACCGGTTTTGCTTTTTAACCCCGTGCTGATTGGTTGTTCCTGTTACAATGCGTAGCATCATTTCACCTTTCAGGTGAAGAACTGATCACGTTCGGAGATTTTGCTCCAGGGAATTTCTAATCTTAATAAACAGGAAAGCAGAAAGGAGCAGGAGAGGCTGGCACCAACAGCAAGGGGCTTAGTCCCAGCTTTGGTGGAGTATTTTGGAATTGAGATGGTTTTTGGGGGGAGGAATATTGTTAGAAGCAGAGAAAGAGCCGAGCCCTTGGTGTCTGATATTTCCCCATCCTAAGTGGGTGATGGAGAGTGAAAACAGAGTGAAACAGCCTCATTTCATTGCTTTTGGTGAGCAAGGAGCCAGGAAGAAAAGCAAATCAAGGATTCAAAATTTGATCTGGAAATACTAGAGGCAGAATTAGAAATGCGAGACCTTTTCAAAAGTTCATAGGCAGAGAGATCCTACTCGAGGTTTTTGCAGTCAAACGTTTTGGTGTGAGAGCATTTCAGGTCTCGAAAAACCCACGGCAGCTCCCACCAAACACACCCCGGGAGTTTTAGTGTGCAGTTCTCATGGTGCTGCTCTCTAACCACCCTCCTGCCCTGGGGCACACAGGGAGCGATGCCAAGCACAGCCCAGAGCTCCTGGACCTCGATTCCAGCCGTGAACTTGGAGCTGTTCCCCCAGGAGGAGCCTACAGCGACGCTGAGGTGCGGAAAGGAGATCTCCCAGAAAGGTTGGTTCTCTCCATCCCCTGCCATTTTTCATGAATTTGTGAAAAATGTATGGTTTATATGAACCCCACTGTGTCTGCACACCCTCTGCGTGTGTTGTTTAGCAACACACGAAAAAAAAAAACTTGTCCCCAAAGAACTTCGCTCTAAATGTCAGAGAAGATAAAAAGTGACAGCAAAGGGCAAGATGACTCACAATTAATCTCCAATTCAAGAAGGAAATTGTTAGACATTCCATGTACAAAACAACTACTTGAAAGTACTTCTGTTAGTATTAGAGAATTTTCCTTTACGTATTAATAACCAAGCTGCTGATGTAGTTGTTTTCACCCTGACCTCAAGCCTATATTTTTATTTGGGTTTTATTTTATTCTGCGTGCTAGAATACAGTTAATTGATTTAATTGCTCCATGCTCACTCAGAATTACCATCCTACCCAAATTTAGCCTGCTGGATTTTCATATGCATCATCCTCAGTGAGATCTCTCTCCCTCAGTTCCAGCTCTGATGAAAGCCATGGCTCCAACACTGTGGCCTTAGTGCTGGGCCCTCTTGCTGGCCTGATCCTGATTGCTGTGACAGCGTTTGCCATTGTCAAATACAGGCAGCTGAAGAGATCTGGTGAGTCCCTGCCTCTCTGGGCTCAGAAACAGCAGCAGCACTGAGTTACAGCAATACCCAAGTGCTGGGCTGAGCTGCTCTCCTGGTGCCACGCCAGGATGGGCAGGGAGGTCCCAGCTCCTCCTGGGACGAATCCAGAGAGCCCTGACCCCATCCAGAGAGCTCCAACCCCTGCTCCTCTGTGACCCATCCAGAAATCTCCAACCCCTGCTCCTCCTCTGACCCACCCTGAGATCTCCAACCCCTGCCCCTCACACTGACCCATCCAGAGAGCCCTGATTCCACCCTGAGAGCTCCAAGCCCTGCTCCTCTGTGACCCACCCAGAGATCTCCACTCCCAGAGTGTCCAGGCTGAGGCAGAGCCCAGCCCTCCATGGTTTTGCCCGCTGTGCCACAGCATCACCTGGCACAGAGGCTTTGGGTTTTGGGGTGCTCCCACCCACTCTGAGCGAGACCTGAGGGATTTTCCTCCTCTCTCACCAGACCTGGTGTCCGTGGGGAGCTACAGGACAAACATCAGCATGTCAGACTTTGAGAACGTGAGGGACCTCAGTGCCAGCAACAGAGTGAAGGAGAGCCAGGAGACCCCCATGGGAGGGGACGGTGAGTGGCTGAGCCCAGCCCAGCCCAGCCCCGGGCTCAGGGACAGCCCTTCCTGGCTGAAATAGCCCACAAAGGGCACAGCAACCCCTGCCAGCCCCCTCCCCAACACACCTCCCTTTCTCTGCCTGCAGAGTTCATCACCACCACGGACACTCAGGAAAGTGAAGCAGACACAATGAAGGCAAAAAGGGTAAGAGGAGGCAGGAGAAAGGCCACTGACCTGGGGGATGTGGCCACCGACCTGGGAGATGTGGTCACAGCCCTGCAGCCTATCCCAAAGGGGCTGTCTTCTCCCAAGGGCTTTATTTATTCCCAGGTGCTCTCTATTTTACCCAGATCCAGCCCCCAGGGTGGGTCTCACCCCTGTCCTCACTCCCTGTTTTAGCAGAGACTTTAACAGCAGTCACTTCGCTTCAAGCAATAAACTAAGGCAGCGTCAGGAAGGTTGGGTTTGTTAGCAGAAATCCAAATCACTGGGATAAGCAGATGGCTGGAAATCATCACATCCCACTTCTCAGGGGTTCAGGGGGCACAGGGAGGCAGGGAGGGCTCTGCCATTGCAGGGGCTGAGATTTGCTGTGATCTCTGCCTTCCCCTAATTTTCTCTGCCTCCCTCCCCTCGGCTAAGATCGTGGTCCAGCAGCTGCAGGTGCCAGATTCGAGCCCGTTTTTCAAAGGCCTTACCAACAGCAGAGGTGTGGCTGTTGTGGGTGCCAGCAGCTGAACTGGAGCAATCCAGAACACCAGTAAAGCCCAGCAGCTGAACTGGAGCAATCCAGNCCAGCAGCTGAACTGGAGCAATCCAGAACACCAGTAAAGCCCAGCAGCTGAACTGGAGCAATCCAGAACACCAGTAAAGCCCAGCAGCTTAAAGACAGGGGAGCTGGATGCCAGGGACAGGCTCGCCAAGGCATCCCAAGCCTAAAAGCTTTTGGGGTGTTCCCAGGACGCTGCTCACATTGGCACAGTGTGATCTGCTGGATCCAGTGCTATTCTGGGATATCCACAAAAATATCCTGATACATCCCCTGGTGCCCATCCCCATGCCCTGACTGTGCCCTCCTGTCCTTCCCAGAGCTCCAAGGAGGACGCTGAGCTCACCTACTCCTCCTTCCTCGTCACCTCCGAGCGCATCGCCCAGGGCAGCTCCGGGGGGGACAACGCTGTCCTGGACGTGTCCCCTCCCCAGGACCAGCTCTGAGGGGAGGTGGCAGCACCTGGGACTGGCTCTGCCTCGAGGATCACGATGTCAGCAAGCAACACTCTTCATTACTCCCACTGTTTGCTATAGCTTGGCCTTTTTTGTTTCTTTTTTTTGCTTAAATGCAGCTTCGAGTGGTGATTTAGGAGGAATGGTTTGATGCCAGAGGGGGCTGGAAGTGCAGGTCAGAGTGGGGAGGCTGGGCTGGGAAGCAGCAGGAACTCGAGTGGCTCATCCCACCAGCAGCCCCAGTTCCTACACTGGGGTCTCACAGGCCAGAAAGAGAATTGTAAAAAAAAAAAAAAAAATTAAAAAAAATTTCTTTTTTTCTTTTAAAGGCAGCTGGAAAACCCTTTAGGATAGCTGATGCTTTTGATTCCCCTAAGCTTTCCCGACCTGAGGGTGGCACCTGCAGGCCAGACACGTCTGGAGTGTTTGTATGCACGAGCAGTTAAGATCCAGTGGCTTTCAGCAGACTGGGGAACTCAGGGTCTGTGGGATATCACAGGAGAGCCCACCCAGAGAGGCACAGAAAGGGTGGGAAAAGCTGAATATTCTGCAGATGAAGCAGTGTAGGAAGCTGTAATGACAAAGAGGAGACAGTGGCAGGCTGGGTTAGCTGGCAAACGCTGAGTTTCATTGAGGATAAATACAAATAATTCCTGTACTACGGATTCCAGAATTTCACTGAGGATAAAACACAAATAATTCCTGAATTGTGGTATTTCACTGCTGGGATGAGCAGGGCAGCATCTCCCTCCTGCTCACCAGTTCTCACGCCCACCTTGCACCTTCCTGCCAGCCCTCAGGGGGAGATGAGGGCTCACCTGCCGCATCCCCGGGATCCCCTCTGCATCCCCGGGATCCCCTCTGCATCCCCGGATCCCCTCTGCATCCCCCTCTGCATCCCCGGGATCCCCTCTGCATCCCCGGATCCCCTCTGCATCCCCCTCTGCATCCCCGGGATCCCCTCTGCATCCCCGGGATCCCCGGGATCCCCTCTGCATCCTCTCAGAGCACGGGGGGAAGGGGTTGGGATCTCGGGAAAGGCATGGGGGAACAGGGACAGGTCTGTGGAGGGACAGGGACAGGGACAGGTCCCCGCCCGGCCGGAGCCGCTGGAAGGGAGGCAATGCCTGACTCTGGTGCAATAGGAGAGGAGTGAGCCTGGAGAGCATCCCCGGCGGGCAGCAGCGGCAGGAGAACGCTCGGGTGTGGAAATTTCTGACAGGAGAAAACCCCTTTTGCTGTCCCTGTGTAAATCCTCTTCCTCCTCAGCCTGCCCCAGGGCGTCCTTTCCTTTCCCGGCTCCTCGCTCCCTGCCCTGGGAGCAGCCGGGATGAGCTGAACTCCGGGAGAGGAGCAGGCGTGGGTGGGATGAGCATCCTGCACCCCTCAGCTGCCTTCTGCCCCTTCCCAGTGCTGGCACCTCCCGCTGGCATCTCCTTTCCAAAGGGAACAGCCCTGGGCTGCTGCCGTGCCCTGCCGTGGGTGGAGAGGTGTGAAATCCCTGGTTCAGGTGAGAGCACTGAGCCAGGCATGGGCTGAGGGCTGCAGCAGCCAGGCTGTGATCCATGGGTAGGATGGCACGTGATGATTGTGACATGAGCTGAAGGTGTGGAATAAAACCCTCAAGCTGTGACCCAGAGCCCACAAAGCTCCATGAGGAACTCACCTGCTCCTTCAGCAGGTGATTTCCTGTGGGCAGGGACGAGCTGTGGCACCTCACTGCATCCCAGCATCATCCCCAGGGCTTGTTCTTCAACACAGACCCGTGTCCCACACACCTGTCACTCCTAAAAGAGTGATGGAGCTGAAAAATCAGCTCTCCTGAGCACTGCCAGAGCGTGGGGAGATGTGCTCACCTGTTCAAGCCCTGACACCTGCACAAATGAGAAAGTGAATTAACAAAATCAAAGCCCTTGGAAGCTTTCCTTTGGCATAAGCAAATATCTGAGGGAGGACGGGGAGCAGTCAGAGACCTTTCCTGTGAAAGTGAATCACCAAATGCCACCCAGAGTGACACTGGTGCCACAGAGAAATGCTGGGGCTGTCCCCCAGCTGGGATTTGGAGCATGCAGTGGGTGCCAGCAACACCCAAAATGGGAGAGAACAGACCAGAGCAATAAATAATGCACAGGTTTGGGGACAAACTGGGGGGATTTAGCAGCACTGGGGTCTGAGTTTGGTGTTTCTGGCGTGCCCTGAAGGATTCATCAGCCCTGGCACGCTGGAGTGGCAGCATCTGCTCTAAAAGGAATTCAGAAAGTGTCACCAGCAAGAATCATATAATTCCTCAGAATTTTGACAAACAGACTCAGCACAGTTTCAAGTGGGGTTTATTTGCAGTCATCACAACCAATTTCCACAAAACTCACTACTGAGTGTCAGTAAATTGCACAATACACTCAAGAACCTTTTTCTGTTCAGCAACCACACATCTTGCACAGAAACTTTTTTACTGATAAGGCAGAAAATATCATGTCAAGAGGAAACACAGATTTCTAAGGCCTGACATACCTGCTAGGACCTATTCTTGGAAGCATTTCTCACACTGTACTTCTCATTTCAGCCACATCCATCAGTGGCAGCAGCCCTGAGACCCAGCCCAGGTTTATGCAACATCAGCTGCACCAGAGTCCTCCCAGCCCTCATTCCCCACATTCCCTAGACAAAAAAAAATCTGTAATTTAAACAATAATTTTATGACACGATCACAGCTTATGTCTGCCAGCAGGAGAAACCCTTGTGTGCTTTCCCTGGGAGCATCCTTTGATAGCAGAGAGCAATGCTGATTTAATCAAACTCGTTATTTCCCTCTTAATGAAGACTCTGCTGATGTCCCTGGCTGGAAAAGCACTCCATGCTTGCCTGGATGCAGCTGGGGGTGCTGAGGAGCTGATTTCAGTGATTTTTTTTTGTCCCTCCCATCTCTGCAAAGCCCCTGCAGCTCCTCAGCCCCACTGGCCGTGGGTAATTAAGGCTGCCAGTTAACGAGATTTCTCCATCCAGTCCAGGAGGATGTCCAGCTCCCCCAGGGATTTCATGGCTGCAGATGTGACATTCAGCTGGAATGATAAATGAAGGAATGAGCTGTGAGCAGACACCATCACTACAACCCAACATAAAGAGAATTTAAATGTCTGTGTTAATTGCCAGGCTCAGTCACCAACTCACCCCTTCATAGTTTGCCAGTATTTGCTTGAATTTCTCTGTGGATTCCTCCCCACACGCACAATTATTCTGCTCACGCTGGAAAAACCAGATTAATTCATTAGTCTGGGCAGTTGATTTTTAAAAATAAGATTTCAGTTTCTGATTTTGCTGGCCATCCTAGACTGAGACACTGTGGGGAAGGCTGCAGGACCCTAAATCAGACTTTAGCTCCCAGCAGGTGACTGGACAGACACAAGGACAGGATAAATATTGGGCTTTAGGGCCAATGGGAGAGTTTGATGGTGAGATACAAAAATATCTCCATGGACAGAACACTTCACACCACTCTGCTTTGTATTCTCATTAAAACCATTTCTATAAACAGAGACTTTGCAGCTTTACACCTCTCCCAGGTTGGTTTATGGATGAAATATTAAAGATGCAGCACCCAGGACTTACACACTGCCCGAGTTTCCTCCTCACACTGAGGAAGGAGTTGGCGATGCTGCTGATTTTCCTGTTCACAAACGAGTCCTCGGTCCTGCAGTGCTTGAAAACTTTGTCCACGTAGAAGGTGAAGAGCTGATGAGTGATGCAGCACCTGTCTGAAGACTTAGAAAATGAATTTAATGACTAAAAGTTCTTCCAAAGGGGTGAAACCTGCAGTCACTCTCCGGGATAAAGCATCTCTGACAGGAAACTCGTGGTAGCTGAGCACAGCAGGACAGTTTGACTCACAGGGCTTCTTCAGTGGTGCTTGATTGAAGCTGATAAAATAGATGGGAAATCATTTTAGGCTGATTTTCCAGGAGATTCACCCTCAGCAAGTCTCACAGAATAAAACCAGCTGAATTTGCAGCTGGATATCAGAGGCTGAGACCTGGGGAGTGCTTTAGGGTGTGAGAAAGCTGAAAATTGCTGACTTATGAGAGATTGCACTTCTCAAGGTGACATTCACCTGGTTTTGGGCAGGTTCCCCAGCCTGGACCACCTACCTTCACCTTGTGCAGGGAGTGAGGGTGGGACAGGATGCTCAGGGTCCGGATGGGGTCTCTGGATTGCTGTGGAGAGGATGGAGATGGGCAAGGAGCTGCTGGCTCCAGAGGGGCTCCCCCAGCCCCCAGGAGCCTGGGAAATACTCACAATATTGGCTTTAATTGCTGTGAAGCCAGCCCTGATCTCTGCCATGCTCATGGAAACCCTGCAGGTTCCAAAGTGGAAGATTTTGTCCCCAGCTGTCGGCATCAAATTCACCCAGCAGGACACGGAGAAGAGGCAGAGGAACAAGGGGGATCCTCTCATGGCAGCTGCCTGGGAGACCTGCCCAAGGAGAAAAATATTCCTCCTTATTCCCTAAATAACTGTGATCCATAGGAAAATACACACATTTTATATAAAACTTGTACATCTGCATTAAAAACCCCACACTCATTAGTATCTCTTACCCATTTGTTTTTTGTTCCTCATGAGCAAGGGGGGAAAAAAAATCAAATAGAATTAAATATTTAAAAGAAGAGCTCAAAAAGGAAAGGAAAATAAATAAAATATCAGTTTAAAATGCATCTAAATAAACAGAGTTCTTCTGAAAAAAAAAAAAAGTTACTAGAAAAATAAATACAGTGAAACTAAATTTTTAAGTCCAATAACACAGAAGCAACAGGAGGTAACTGACTGAAAGTAACAGATCCCGAAAGAAAAGAGTTTCCCTCTGGAACAGCATAAGTCAAACACAAGTTTTGTTAGCACTGAAAATGAAGGTTATTAATGAAAAAAATATTTCACAGGTAGGAATACAAGAGAATACCCGAAAGGACGTAGAGCAAGGGGATAAATTCAGAATCTTACCTTGCTCGCGGGTGTGGGTTCACCTCTCTCACTGACCTGGAGAGCTCCAAGGAGGCGTTTTTATCCCGGTACCAGGAGGAAATAACTCTTGGATTAACTTTTGGGATTTTTCTTGCTTTTCCCGGCACATATTTCCCTTTGTAATTTGCTGAATTAATGAGCTGGTGCAAGGGACCAGCTCTCTCTCCCACAGGTGTTTCCCTCACCTACGGAGGCGGAACTCTGGCACCGCTGCGTGGGTTTCCTTTTGGGAAGAGGGATGTGACCAAAACCAGGGCCCATCCTGGTCTGGGGTCACATCCCCACAACGCCCCAGCCTGGAGCAATCCCCTCCAGGACAGAGAGGGGCCATGCCCAGCTCCTCTCAGAGGTGTTGGCAATGTGGGAAGCTCGGTGGCATCAGCCCATGGGGTGCCAGTGGTCCCAGCACCCCAGGATTTCTGGCACAGGACCCGGTAGAAATGGTGAAACTCGAGTGCAGGGTGTTCTCCATCATCATCCTGGCACAAGTGGCCTTCCCCTGCCACTTTCAGGGAATGCTGCTCCCACATTCAAGGGATCCCACCGGCAGGTTCAGGGAATGCTGCTCCCACTCTCCTCAGCTCCTGGACATTTCTCCCTCCTGTGTCTCTGGTGTTGGAGAGGCACAGAAACACCAGGTCAGGGGTTGTGGAGGACACAGCTCCCACCCTGCTGGCAGAAGTGGTTTCCAGGG